AGGACAAATGAGGTGCAGCAGTTAAACGCCCAACTGGCTCTACTCCAGCGCATGTATAAGGATGCGCGAGCAGAGATAAGTGTGCTAAAGGCGGAAAATAAGGAGCTGAAGCGGAAGGCCACCGTGATGTTCCGATTTGGAGGTCCGCCATATGCTAGAAAACTGTAAAATTTTACAATTTTAATTTTTTGGTGTTGAAATGAATAATGCTTTAAAATTACAAAATTTTAATTTAAAAGACTAGACCAAGAATCAAATAATGGAGAAATTACAATTTTGTTTTGTTTTTTTTTTTTTTTTTTTTTTTGTTTTTTTTTTGTTAATAAGAATAATAATAATAATAATAACAATAATATATGAAGGAGGAAAGAAAAAGTATGGGTTATATGCAAAAGTGGACAGAGTGGGAGTAGGATATTAAAAGAAACATATATATATATATATATATATTAAAATAAAAGAAAGTGGAAAGAAGGAACCAGCACTTTTTTTTTTTTTTTTTTTTTTTTTTTTTGCAAAGAAATAATAATGAAAAAAAAGATTAAAAATAAAGTGAAAGAAAAATAAAAAAAGAAAGAAATAATAAGAATATGTGAAATCAAAACGAGAGAGTGAGGGAAAAAAGAGATTGGTTCACGTGGGTTTCGTGGTCCACGGTTTTGTGAAAACCTGCAATGGGTTTGGTTTCTCTAATTTCTCTCAAACTCCGATCTCCAACTCCACCGGCACTGTCACTCGCCGATCTCCGATCGACCACAACACGAAACCCTAGCTCTCACTGTTTCGACTGCTGAACAATTTGAAGCTAAACCCCATGACACGCCAGTACTTTGACCAAACCATTTTCAGATCTGCAAAGAATTGGTGTGTATAGGTCTTGTATTTGGTTTTTGAATTTTCGATTTTGAATCGAAATGGCATCGAGGAATAGAACCATATTGTTCAAAAAGTACAGAGATGCGTTGAAAAGCGTTCGTGTTCCATCGGGTTCTTCACCGTCGACTTCTGGTGGTCCGGTGATTGAATTGTCGACCACTTGTTGAACCCAATGAGAGAAATCAAAGTCCAGAAGCTCGTCCTCAATACTGAAGATCCAGGAAGCTCCGGTCAAGGTGCGCTTACAGTGGGTCTACCTCCAGCTTGGGTGGATGTATCTGAAGAAATATCAGCAAATGTGCAACATGTGCGGGTGAAAATTGCTGAACTAGCCGAGGCTCATACCAAGGCTTTAATGCCCTCATTTGGAGATGGAAAAGAAGATCAATGCAGGATTGAGTCTCTTACTCAAGAGATTACCGTTCTTTTAAAAAAGTCTGAGAAGAGATTACAGATACTCTCTGCTGGTGGGCCTTCTGAGGACTCTAATATTAGGAAAAATGTGCAGCGCTCTCTCGCCACTGACCTTCAGAGCCTTTCAATGGAACTTCGCAAGAAACAGTCAACTTATTTAAAGCGACTCCAGCAGCAGAAAGAGGGTCCAGATGGGGTCGACATAGAAATGAACTTAAATGGGAATAATTCCAGAAGAGAAGATGATGACTTGGACGATATGGGGTTTAATGAGCATCAAATGGCCAAACTAAGGAAAAGTGAGGCATTCACGGTAGAAAGGGAGAGAGAAATCAACCAGGTTGTGGAATCAGTACATGAGCTTGCTCAGATTATGAAGGATCTATCAGTGCTCGTCATTGATCAGGGCACTATTGTCAATAGGATAGACTACAATATTCAGAATGTTGCAGCATCAGTCGAGGATGGCTTTAAACAGCAGCAGAAGGCCTTTCAGAGGTTTCAGTAAAGACAGTAAGCAACTTGATGCTGAGGTTCACCGCAAATACATCTATGGAGGCCATGTTTCTGCATACATGGCGACTCTGATGGAAGATGAGCCAGAGAAGTACCAGTCTCACTTTTGGTTTAAAACTATCATTTCATCATTGGTAAATACTTTGATTTCCTTGTCTTGTATTTGTCTAACTACTTCAAGAATTTGCAACCACTTATTCTACATCAGTTAATCTAGGAGGATTTGAGTATTGTAGGTGGCTTTTGAAGCCTCTTTTTTGTTGTTTCATCTTAGGAGGGCATAAGTCTCACACATGCCTTCAAACGTTATTGATGCCCCTGGAATACAAGTTTAACTAATCTCTGACACACTAAAACAATCTTTAGCCGAATTTTCTAGGTGGTGGAAGTTAAGGCTTTTATAGTGTTCATTTCATATATTTTAAGTAAATTACAAATGCATTTCCTAAGATTTGCTTAAAATATGAATTGACCCTTGTGGTTTTGAAAATTACATCCTACCATTTCAAATTTCTAATTGCATAAAAAATGGCCCCTTTTTATGAATGAATCATTAACTCAACTAACAGTTTTTAATGATATTAGAATTATATTTCAATTAACAATTTTGGTAATTTAATTGTTGTATAGAAGAGTAGTTAGGAATTTCATTTTTTCTGTTAATTCTATTAAATAGTTTTGTTTTTTTGTCAATGGGGTATTTGTAATTTCCAGAACCATAGGGAGAAATTCATATTTTAAGCAAAACTCAAGGGGTGTATTTGTAATGTACCCTTTTATTTTTTATTTATTTCTACCCCACAGGAGAGGGATATATTCTTGTAAGAAAATAAACTCTTATTCCATAAATTTGTACACAACCGAAGTGTTGTTAGGTTATTGATGTGTGTTTGCCCCTAACAATACAAAAGGAGAAAGAGATCAGTAAACAAGAGAACACCAAAGAACACTTTGTCATACACTACATTACATTCAACATTAACAATGAATTCTAATTTGACATCTTAATAAGATGTTGAGAAATTTTATAACCCTTAAGTTAGACGATCTTGCATAATTTGGGTTGTTCTTCAAGAAAATTCGGTCTAGATTAGAGAATTGGTGTTTGAAGAGTTTATACTTGCTTGATCATTAAGTTAGTCGTCCCATTGAGATTGCTCTAGTTTTTTATGAACTCCAGCACATCTATTAAGTAAAACACAAATAGGTGCTATAAAAGTCTGTTAGTGTTTTGTCCCCAAGACACACCCTTGTGGCCTACAGCCTCGTCCAGAATAATCAACTCGCATTCGAGTCCTCTAAGATTATGTACATATACAAAAGAAGTCGGTTAGCATTTAATGACTTGGTGACAAAGACACAACCATTGGACAAGACACAGAATTTTCTTGTTGACATCACTCTCCTTGTGTTCTTTTTGAACCTGTTCATTTTATTTTTAGTTTAATATAGTCTACAATTCTTGGTACTTAGTAGGCATAGCCTAACAAGTATAGATACTTCTAAGAAGTTGTCACGTCTATGTTGGATACCGACACTTGTTAAACAGTTCTGGACACTAGTCCAAACATGTCCTATATTTAAAAATATATATATATATATATATATTTAGACTCGTTGTGTGCACATGAATTTCAACCAAATTGATAAGATTCTAGGTTCAGTGGGATGATGAGACCCTAAAATTAAAAGTCTATGAACCTATACAAGTAACTGATACATGGAGCCTACAAAGTTCAGAAGACAACACGTTCAATCAGGCAATGGCACATGCAAAGCCTATGGTGGAAAAGCTATAGAAAATCAACTCTAAAAAGATCAATTGAGATACATGATACGATACAATAACATCGCATTTAAATGACATTACTTAAGATCTTCAAGCTCACACAAGTCAAGTGATACGTGGAGTTTACAAAATTCAAAGGACGATGCATTCAATCAAAGGACAACACGTATAGAGTTTATGGTAGTAATACAGGAGATAACATCCAGAAGATCAATACAGTCAACTAAATTTGAAATACAAGATATGATAACATTGCGTTTAAATTTAAACGCATTATCATAAGTTTCAAAATTCAAATTGATGATGAGTCGTATCATGTAAATAACCCTTAATAAATATGAGGACCATTGCATCGAAGAGGGACAGGAGAGGCAAGAGATGAGAATTGAGAGAATTCAAAAGCTGAAAGATTAGAGTTCAGATAAACTTAGAACCTAGAGAATCGTGAAAGGCAACAACACACAACACTCAACGCGCACACAATGTGATGGTGCATTATAGCTAGAGGATTCCAAACCCATTGACTGTATTCCTTTTTAAACTTTGTGTATTTAATGAAAACATTATTTTGTTTAAATTCTCTTTTGTCATTTTTTTTTTTTTTCCTTCATTGATCAAAAGTTTCATTTGTTCCAGTGAGTAATTATCAATCTAGAATCTAGATCGGAAATAGGAACCTACTATTGAATAATCAACCTTGATTAGTCTAATAACTAAACAATGAATGTTTGTGACATAAATTTTGCAATGTGTTAAAAAATTGACACACTTTAGACACTTGGGGGACATATGTTTCCATTGGTTAGACAAATACATTACAAGTTTGAGTGATTTTTTTTTTTTCTTTTGGGGTGAGTATTGAATAAAATATTTGGTATAAATGTGATGTTGCATTTTTTTTTAATTATATTTGAATGAAATATTCATATAAATGACATATAATAAATATCAAAAATTGCCCATGTCCCATGTGTCGTGTCATGCATATTTTGACAATTGTTTTGTCCATGTCTTTTTGTGTTGCATGTGTTGTCGTGCCCATGCTTCTTACAACATACATTTCAATTGGTCTGTTACTAATACTATGTTCCACTCACCACCCTCTGCATTTCCTTCTCTGTTTTTCTTTTTGGATGGGGGGTGGAGTGGGGTATGGGGGTTGCCATTTGTCATGATGTTAGTGCCTTTTTATAATTCATGTTATGTTGCTTTTAATAAAATGAAAAATGTTTCTTCATCATGATGTTAGAATACAGTAATTGGTCACTGGATAAACTGGACAGCTAAAAAAAAAATTTGAAAGGAGTTGATCTACAATCTGGTGATTGATTTGTTCTGTGTTTCTTTCGATAGTGTTAAAATCATTTTTATTGGCATTTAAATAGACATTCTAGATGTACATCAGGCTACACCGTTTCTGGCTGGGCTTGCAATAGCTGCTGCTGCTCTTGCTGGTAAATATGGAATCCAGGCTTGGCAAACATTAAAGACTCGACCACCAAAACCTAGGGTTCGCAGATTTTATGATGGCGGCTTCCAACCTACTATGACAAAGAGGGAAGCTGCTCTTATCCTTGGCGTTAGGTAACCATGACATTATTCTTGGGAATATATTTTATACTGAAGAATCACTTACTACTGCATGTACTTCTAGCCATTAACAAGTGTGGCTTCATAGTAAACTGCTTTTCTTTGGGTTTTTGGTGCATTGCTGATTAGTGTGTTTAGTAATTGAAACACATGGATACAACTGGTTCACAGGAAAAACAAACAGAAGCCTAAGTCCATATTTTAAGACTCAACTTGAGCCTAATTATTTCTTCAATGAATTTCATGTCTGCTTGCGCAGCCACTGTGTTTAGAGTTTAATAATTTTTTAATTGGGAACTACATATGTGCAAATTATTGGTACTTAGAAAGACGTCCAAGTATTTGCCAAATAAGGGGAAGGATAGGCAATTGGTTTATATTAAGTGCATCAAATGCAAGCTAAGAAGCATGAACATGCGGCACAACATAGACATGCTGGCATAACTATTTTAAAAAGCTGCAGGATGCAATACATGGGGGCTGCGCAACATAGATAGTTAGATATATAATACTTCATTCGAAGATAATAAAAAATAAAAAAATACAACATAACAATAATTTCTAAAGTTTAAAGGGGGAGGGAAGGATCAGTAAGTACAAATCTATATTGTATTTCTTTTAGCATTGGTTCTAAAGTTATTTTGTTCAAACTTGTAATGTATTTTATATGTGTCTGTAAGCAGTGGACGTGTGTGTTCTCTAGCGTTGTGTTTGGTTGGGGGATTTGAGAAAGAATTTAGAAAAGAAAAGAAAAAAAATATGTGAAACTAAGTGAAATGTAAGTATATTTTATTCATATTTCACCTATCTTTTCCCTTTATCTTTCCAAATCTCTTTTCAAATCCCCCAACCAAACACAACCTAAGTGTCCAAAGTGTGTCCTGGTCTAAAATAAAACAAATAATTGGGTACCTTTGGACATGTGTTCGACATGAATATGCCACCTTATAAGAAATGTTTGTGCTTCATAGGATGTGAGGGTCAAGACATTTTACTCAAGGAGGATAAGATTTGATGGAAGCTTGAACAGTTAGTTCTACGGATTATGAAAGAGGTTGCTTCATAGGTACTTAAATTCATGATTTAAAAATTCTAACTTGGTTATAATTACAATTTATAGACATCTACAAATCAGCCTAAGATGTGAAAGTAAGAGTGGCTTTAAGTGTTCATTTTATGGGCTGTAAATGAGGAATTCCTTGTTCCTCTTGAGTTTCAGCTGTCAGAAGCTGCACAAAATGTGGGATCTGTCCATCTCTCTTCTGTATTGTCCTATCAACTGCAGATTGTAGGTGTGTGCTTGCGGTGTTATTTCCACCCCCTTCCATAAGATAGTCAATTTTAGCATCTATGAAGGAGCATCTATGAAGGGTCATATTGAGCAAAGGAGGACCGAAGCTACAAAAGGAGTTGAGCAAGAACTATAAGTGTGTGTGTCCACTAAGTGCGGAATCAAGAACTATAATGCAAAGTCAGGGATGCGTTTGGATCAGGTCTTGGCTTTAATACCTTTGCATGTGAAGAAAGCTTTGTTTGATAAATTTCCACGTGCTTTGAGTTATAGTGATGTTCTAAATTTCTAATGATTTTATGTTAAAAGTTTTGGGATCAATAGGAGCTTGGACCAAAGTCTGGAAGGACGGACAAGAGGGGCAATAAAAGGAAGATATGGGTGGCAGGAAGGAAAGGGAAAAAGAAAAGAAAAGTGGAGATAAAATAAAGGAATGTTGAACAAAATAAATAAAACTGAAAGGAGATAATGAAGGAACAAAAGTATAAATTATATGCTTTAAGAAAGCGCTTTGATTTCAAGTCATGCATTAGTTAGTGCTTATTCTCAGGACCTTGTTAAAATCTTTATAATAATCAAATGTATTATGAGTTCATCTCTTTCCTTCCCTTCTTCATTCTTTGCATCATTGAGTTCATTTATTTGTCATTCTATGTGGTTTAACAGAGAGAACGCCACACCAGACAAGGTTAAGGAAGCGCACAGAAGGGTAATGGTTGCAAACCATCCTGATGCTGGCGGTAGCCATTACCTTGCTTCTAAAATTAACGAAGCTAAAGATGTGATGCTTGGAAAGACAAAGGGTAGCGGCTCTGCTTTTTGATATTCTTGAACACCCTCAAATTCTTGGCCATGCACATTCATTAAAGCACGGTTGTTGATCTTGAAGAGCGGCTACACTGACCAAAAAATCCAAAAGGAGTGGAATTTAAGCACATCGTCGAGTTCTTATTCGTCAGAAGGCAGTGAAATTAGAGGGTTTGCTTTTGTTACTGTTTTATAGAACCAGAAGCAACAGCTTTGCTGTAGTGTTGAGAAGAATAACAATGAATTATGAATATTTGAAAAACTAGACATCATAAAGCTCATGGTAGGCTTCCTAATATTACAAAATAGATGTGCATATTTCAGTATTTCCTGTTGCACAAACATACCTTGTGATGCATTGGGCAGAAAATATTTTTAAAAAAACATTCTCTACATTTTCTTGCATTGAAAAACAAAATTTAACAGAAAATGTTTTCTCTATAAAAAATAAGTTTATTTGAGTGGAAAATATTTTTTACTTAAAAAACGGTTTCAAGGTTAATGTCACCACAGACCTCCAGCCTCCAACCTGGATAGCACCACTACCGCCCATACAATTATGAACAAATTAGTTTTAAGTTTGCAATCGAATATTGAAAAATGTAATTTATCTTTCAAAAAGAAAAATTTATTGGAAAATGTTTTTGCTAAAATAAAGCAAACGTTAGCGTTTGCCGGGTGCGTGTGACTGTGTGTCAGGTCAGCCCATTTTATGTTTTTCCATGGAAATGAAAATGCAAAGAACACAGGCGAATTAAGGATACGACTAATGTGGTGGGGTAGTGTTTGGTGAATGTAACATGACATGTTTTGTTTTTTTTAAGGGTTTGACTTTTATTAAGTTGTGATCTTAATTTGAGATAGTATTTGGATTTAGTAGACATATTTTAAGATCAATTTTGATAATTAGAACTATTTACTTTTTAGGACTCGAATTAGAATTATTCACTTTTTAGGACTCGTTAAAAAGAATATTCATGCAAAAAATAGGGTGATTGAATATTGGTAGTTATATATTTGAATGATATTTGTTTTGAAAAAAAATAAACGATAAATATAATTTTAAAAATAGTCATATGTTTTTTATAATACAAATTTGATTTTAATATATAGTTACCAATGTCTTATCATCTAAATTTTTTACATGATTATTCTACATAACAAATACTACAAAATGAACGACTTAGATTACCGAAATCGATTTCAAAATAAATTTGTTAAATCCAAACGCGCTGTCAAATTATGATTGCCAACATAAAAGAGGTCCAATCTTTTTTTAAATAGGTATGTGTGCTTTCTATCATTCCATTTTCTTCTTTTCTTACACTCTAAACAACAATGATTATGGGACATAAAGTATATCTAGAATATTAGATCCAGTTTGTTTATATAAATTTGAATGATCAAGTTTAAGTGGACTTATTATATATATATTTATATATCTTTGGGACAGCATTGGATATATAAAGATGCATCCTTTGTTTAGCGAAAATTATGGAACAGTGGTACAATCAAAAAATTATCGCACATTCATGTAATAGTTTATAATTTCAATAAAATGTATACAAAGTTTACTATTTATTTGTAATTTTTTTTTAAAAGTCTACACAAATGGAATTTCCTCTCTTTTTTATTCTGGCAAGGGGAAAAGAAAAAGAAGAGTGTCTTTTTCTGTATTTATGAGGTTGTTTGGTACAATTTAGATGAGTAGCTTTTTTTTTTTTTTTTTGGTGGGAGAATCTATGTTGGATTATTGTTCAGCATTTACTTAAAAAACATTTACATATATATCCCATATTCGGAAAAGGTTGATCCATTTGGTCCTACAAGTTTTCTTGTTGACCAATTGGTCCTGTTTTTTTGAGAAGCTATATTTAAGTGATTTTAGTGTCATTTGAGTTGACACAAATACCTTTTTATGATCAATTTTGTGATTCACTATTCCTTTTTTTTCGAATTGGGTTGTGTTGGATATGGAACATTCACGTCTTTCACGGTTGTTGGCTTAAATAACGTTGGTTGGTTTCTAGGGAAGGAGTGGTGTGATATTGTCTTTCCCAGCGAGGAGATTTGTTTTGAATGTTGTTCTGATCAATTTTGTAACAGGGGCGTGCTACAATGCTTTGGTTGTTTCCGTTGCCGTTATGGTGTTGGTGATGTTAGCGGTGTGGTATGGGAATCGTTTATGCATTCATGACGGTTGTTGTTTGTGCGAGTTTGTTTTGTTGTGAATGTTATTATGGGTCTTTGTAACTGATTTTAGTACGGTATTGTGGTGTTGGTGTCTATTTCGATAGTTTAGTTTACAGTCTTAGTTTTGGTACGATGTAACATGTCGTTGGTGTGTTATAGTTTCGGACTTCAAGTTTAGCCTGATTATATTTTCACGTAACATCAAAATTGAGCCATGGGTGTTGTTATCTTAGTTTAAATTAGATCCGGATATGACTGTGTTGTCGCAGTGAGTTTGGTTGTGATGTTATTTTACTTTCAATTGGGATCTGGATATGGGTGTCATTATCGCAATGGTTTGGGTTGTAACATGTCGGTAGTTTGTTGTTATTTTGGCCTTCAATTTCATCCCAATTATGTGTAACATAGAAATTGGACAATGGTAGCTAATTATCTTTTGTTTTTTTCTTTTTTTTTTTTGGTTGCGTTGCAATATGTCACAATGGTATGGTGATTACAAAGTTACGTTTTTCGTTGCGACGTTGTTGACTTTCTTAACGAGATTGTGTGACAAGTATGGACTCCGTTATTTTGCTATTGTGCTCTTATGGACAAACAAACACTGTAATTAGGTTGCTTAATGCGCTAACATACGCATATTTGATTGATTTCATATGTGGGAAATTTGACGGACTGGTCCCTGGTGCGGTACATATGTTGTTCGATGTGCCAGGGTACAATAAGTGCACGGTTGACAATGATGACGATATCCAGAGTATGTTGTGCCTTGCCAAGTCATTCGGTCTTAAACACATTGACATCCTCATTCAAAAACGGGGGGCTGGATCAGGTGGTAATAGTGGGGGATTGATTTCGAAGGAGGATGGTGCGACTACTTATGTTGGTAGTCAGATGTTCAGTGCTTACGATTATGATCACGCTAATTTGTTACTAACATATTGCCCTAACAAGTCGAAGCCGTTTTTGTTTGCTAAATGGGCGTACGAAATTACCCATGTAGGCCAGTGTTTTGAGGATGGGGCTAATGAATTCAAGGAAGTTCTTTGCAAGTACGCCATAGAATGTGGTTTCCAGTTCAGTTACATGAAAAATGATTCTGTTCACATCACAGTCGTGTGTAAATTTGAAGCATCGATAGAGTGCAAATGGTATATACATGCGAGAGTGTTAACATCAAGCAGAGTTTTGTGTGTTAAGAGGTTTGATAGTGTGCATACTTGTGGAGCTGCTATATGTATATATAGGAACCCGCGCACTAGGTCTGATTTGATCTCCAGTGTTGTCGCCGACCGGGTGCGTGCACAGCCACTAACGCAACCCATAGACGTGGTTTTCGATCTAAAAAATGAATACCGGTTGGACATAAGTTACCATGTCACGTTGCTGGGGGTAGAGAAAGCATGAGACGAAGTGTACGGGGACCACACTATATTGTTCGACCAACTGAGGTGGTATAACGATACCGTGATGGAGAAAAATCCAAAGAATTACATTAATCTTGAATTTGACCAAAAAACTGGGAGATTTGTTAGGTATTTCATATCATTTCGTGCTTGTATAGACGGGTTCAAGCATTGTCGGTAGTTAGTTTTCCTGGATGGGACGTTCTTAAAAGGCAAGTTTAAGGGAAATTTACTTGCGGCAACGGTTAAGGATGGCAATCAAGGTAAGGAGATGTCCTGTATTTATGTTGAACATAACACACATCAAATTTCCCATTACACTCATGATAGTCTCTAACACACTAACAATCTTCAATTTCATTCACACTTAAAAGTAGATCAACAATGTCACGTACGCTATTTATGTTCTTACTAAACACGAAATGTTTTTCTACACAGGGTTGTTTCCATTAGCGTTCGCAATTGTTGATTTCGAAAATTCCACCAATTGGGAGTGGTTTCTATGTCATCTACAAGCAATTCTGGGTATAGGATCAGGTGTTGACATTCGTGTCCGACTGTCATGCGGGGCTTTTATAATCCATGCCAACCGTATTCCCAACACATCATGCGGGGCTTCTACAGCACATCATGCTTTTTGTTTGTAACATCTTCAGATGAATTTGAGAGATCGAATGAAATATGTTAACCCATCACATAAAATTGGGTTAATGCGTAAGCTACGGGAATGCACATACGCTTCCACGGTGGCAAGTTTCAACCAAAAGTTGGAAGTGTTGAAGCAGCGCAGCCTGACAGTGATTGAAGATTTCTTCAAAGAGTTACATCTGAAGCAGTAGACTAACGCATATTTTAGGTAAACGGTGTTTTAACGATATTCATTTCATATTTGATAGTTCGAGGGGGACCCAATTTCTATACTGTGTTCATTTTTTTTTCCATACCTCATAATTAAATGTTGTTTGGTCCTTTCAAATTTACCACATAATGGCTGAGGTTTTTGCGAGTTAATTGTTTTCTCCCGTGGGTTTCATTGTTTAATGTTTTCTAGGGGGAAACAATACAGTGAAATGTGATCGAATGCTGTCGAATCATTCAACAACTGGATACGTGAAACTCATCATCTTCCAATCACTAGGTTGGTCGATATGATTAGATGTAAAATGATGGAAAAGATTACAAAGCTTAGGGTGAAATGTACCGTGTGGCCTAGAGTAATATGTCCGAAAATGAAGAAGAAATTGGTGGCGGCATACAACAACAGCAGGTCCTGGAGTGTTAGTCAGGCAAATGAAAATGTATATGAGGTCCACTCGCACCCCTTAGTGTTGGTTGACGTTGGTATGTGGACATGCTCATGTTTTCCATGGCAGTTACATGGGTTCCCTGGCTAAACACGTTGTTGTCGCATTTTGTAATAGTAGGCGAAACATATATGACTCAATTGAACCGTACTACCACATTAACAAGATTAAGGCAACGTACAACAAGACTATATTCCCAATACCAACAGTTGGGAAACCGATGTTCACTCCAGATGATTACATGATCGCACCACCGACTGTGAAGCGTCTGCCTAGAAGACCCAAACGGAAGAGAATTCCATCTAAGGGCGAGGTGGTGCAGTATATTCGTTACAGCCATTGTGGGAAGTTGGGTAACCATAACATGAACACTTGCAAAGAACCGATATAGGAGTGGCACGATATGTTCATCTTATTGGGTTATCA